CCCCGCGACCCGACCCCGGATAGGTGGAAGAAAATGGATGGATGGATGGATGGATGGATGGATGGATAATATTTGTCTCCAACCCGGTGCTACCCGTTGCTTGTTTTTCACGGGAACTACTGAGAGAAGCTAACGTGTCAAGATAGCCATCTTGTGTGAGCTTGATTCATGCAGTTTTTCCCTTGAGAAGTATTCCATCTGTTTTATCAGCTGTTTACACTACAAGACACTTGCTTTGATTTTTCTCGCAGTCATATTCAAAGAAATCCCAAAGTGGACACTTTCTCCCAACTTGTGCTGTCGTCATTTGGCAGATGATGCTGAGCAGCAGCAGATTGTAAACAAGTGTTGCTATGGACCACAAATAATGTGAAACTACTAAATTTAAGAAAAAATAGATCCACATGGCTCAAAATAAATTGACAAACACTAAAACTAAGGATATTGTATCGATAAGTTAGTTTTAATTAGTTTTGTAAAAAGGTTATACAGTTTTAGTTAATCGTTTTTTCATTTTAATACAGTTTTTAATTATTTTACTAAGTAAAATGTTTTTTCAATTTCACAGGTTTCTCACACATTGGTCAACATCAAATTCAAGGACCTTTCAAGGACTTTCCAGTACCATTTTACGCAAATTCAAGAACCACACGCGACAGCAATTACCTACTGATACCACAGAATGTTACTAACAGGTTTAATATCATGTAATTCAATGAATAAGTGAACATAGAAGTTGTTGAGTCAGAATCAGTAAAAGAAAGTGGATTAAATGTACACCCTACCTACATTCATATCTACAATACATGGAGATGTAATTATGTCCTGGGAGGTTTGGCAGCTCAGTTTGGGAGGAGGGGATGTGAACATGTCCAGAGCCTCAGTGAGGACAGGAGGTGCTGTGGTGCATCACCTGGGCTCAGAAACAATGACCTGCCCTACTCTGCTCTGAGTGGATAAAACTATGACTATGGCTCACGTTAGTTGTTGAAAGCCACGTCAATTTACTGCAATCCTGAGTTATCCACCACAACAAATATTAGTTTTTTTATTTTATTATTACGGCATTTCTTTACAAATGATGAAAATCAGTTGTGTGAATTGAAAAATTCAATCCCCAAAAAWCATTCAAAGACTTTCAAGGACAAGTGTAATTTTTGGCTGTTTTCACAAACTTTCCAGAGCCTTGAAATTGTTTTTTAAAAATTCACAAACTTTCAAGGATTTCAAGGACCCGTGGGAACCCTGATTTCAGTTTTCGTTATTTAGTTAGTTTTAGCTAACTATAATAACCCTGGTCTCGCCGAGTGAAAGCAAAAAAGAAAAAAAAAAACACACCTGTGCCGAAGCGCTTACCGTCCAGGGAGAAGTTTTGAGATCTCGGCCCAGCGGTTGCCRAGCCGCTTGTGGGCCTCGTAGATGACTCGGTCCTCCTCCTGAGTCCACGACGACTTCTTCACCTCCGGGTTCAGGTGGTTGTGCCACCGTTCTCTGCACTGCTTTCCAATCCTTCCCTGGAGGTGCTTGGCGATGACCGACCACCGCTTGGGGCCATATTTGTGCACCAGGTCGATCACCTGCGCAAACACCGAACCGTGGGAGTAATGAGCGTTTTAGTTGTTTTATTATACTTGCACAGTCTAACAATTACCTGGATATTAGGGCTGCACTATATTAGGAAAACCTGCGATGTGCGATAACAGTGCTTAATATTGCGATGACGATATGACCTGCGATAAATAAACAAATATAGGAAGGTTTATGTCTTTCTGCTCTGGGGTCAGACATACATGTCAACCCCTTCTGACGTTTACCTGTATAAAAAGCCTAAAAAATCTGTAAATTTTGCAAAAAATCCGTACAACTCGCCCCCGTCGCCCCAGCTGCGGACAGGAGGAAAGGAGAGCGGAAAAAGTTCCAAACTTATTTCTGGCGGCAGAACAGGTTGGAAGATGGCTATTTGATGTTATTTATTGTTTTTTAAATCATCCTACAGGCTCCGACATGTTAGATAAATTTGAAAACGAGGTTTTGAAAAAATCCGTAAAACTTAAAAAAATCCGTGAGATTGCTCTATACGTCCGTATACCTGCAAAATGACGTAAAATCCTTATAACTTACGGACAATCTGTACAAGTTGACATGTATGGGTCAGAGTAAAAACAAAACAAAACAAAAAAAAAACAATTTTCATTCCAGCATGAACTTTTCTTTTAAATATGAAGTGATCCATCCAATTGGCCAAATACATGAAGGGCTCCATTTGACTGGGGAAATACTTCAAGCATCTGAGTGACAAAATGGATAAATACAAACTTTTGAGCCAACCATTTATTGCRATTTATGCAGTTTTTAGCAATATGCGAATTGCACAGGCTGTTATCGCGATGACTATAAATTTTCGACATATTGTGCAGCCCTACTGACTATGGCAAGTTGTTGTTAATATTTATTTTATACAAAAACAACAGTACAAATCTAATGGGTTCATTCAAAATAAACAAACAATCAACCAGTTTTAATAAAACAAGATATTATTAATAAACGTATTTAGCAAAAACAATCCGTTTAAGGAGTGCAGTGCTCAATCAAAAGCTAAAACAACAGCTCCTCTGTGACTAAATAAGGCAGGGCACTACACTAATAACTCTGGAAAGTCTGTTTCTTTAGGATGATGTAATGACTTTACACACACACACACACACACACACACACACACACACACACACACACACACACACACACACACACACACACACACACACAGTGGAAAGAGCTTGCACAAGTGTTTTCTTGAGCGTAAAAGATACGGTGCATACTGTGATACATGTATTCTGTTCTTTCTCACCTTTCATTTTCCTTTTTAGTCATCTCTCTCTCTCTCTCTCTTTTGTTTTATCCAGAACAGAAACTCCCAGCTCCACTTACCTTCTGATCCTCCTCTTTTGTCCAGGGTCCTTTTACTAACTCTGGATTGAGCACCTTCTGCCAGCGGTGCTGACACTGACCATCTGTCCTCCCCTGTGACCAAAAACATGAAACACCTCATTACAACCCGCCACCGGCCACACTGACTACTGAAAAATAACTGTAGCTTTCCAAACACACAAGGTTTTGCACTGGCAGAGCTAAAAAAAAAGTTTAAGCATTAAGTCACAAGTACTTTCTACTTGGTTTCATAAAAACGATGTGCTTAATGAGTAATACTTACAGGGAAAAATGTCGCTATTAATTTCCAGGATTCAGTTCCATGTTGCTCAACATACTTTTTCAGCTTTTCATCCTTAAAAATACAAAGAAAAAAAGGACATGTTCACTAAACTGGAAACATTTGATCAGATTTTAGAACGTCTCAGTGTTTGAAGTTGCCAAATCGTTTTTAATCCAGACCTCACGTGCATCCCTGATAAACTCACCTCGTCTCGTGACCACTTCACTTTGCACAGCGCCTTTTTATCTTTGCCATTCTCTTTACTCTCTGGATCTGTGGAGTGCAGCTCTTCATCCTCATCAGTGCTAAAAATATGTATATAAAAGCAAAAATGCAGAAAGGAAGTAAAAGGAGACGACATTTTGTTAACTCAGTCATGATACAAAAATGGTGTTTGTTGATTTTCTTTAATGAATAAACATCAGAGACGCACGTGTTTTCCCCTGTAAACTAAAGACGTGCGTGTTATTTTAAGTCCTTTTTAATGGGGACCTCTATGTTTGGAAAACAAAAGTGTGTTTCAATGCAAAATTATGTACAAGAGTGGGAACAAGCTCAGCTTTTCAGGACTTGATGCTGCACTGCAGATCTTTACAATCACATAAACAAACATGTAAGGCAGTTATTTTCCTCAGGTCTTGTATCTGAGTGTGAATGAAAGGTGTTGTTTCAGAGCAGAAACTTGAATCCAGCATTTAAACCGACATGGGGCCAGATGCCCCGAGAGCAAAGAAAAAAAGAAGTGACTGAATGTGGGACTCTGGCTGAACAGGAAGTAGGGATGTAAGGTAACTGGTGGAGTGGGGGCGATCTCACGTCAACAGGAGTCTTTCAGCTGTGGAGGTGCAAAGTGAGTGGGTGTGGTTCAGGCGACAAGGAAAGGATGAAGCATTAATAGACTAGTTGTTCCAAACAAATATTTGAAAAATCCATACACGCATAACCTCCTGGCATTTAGTTTTAGTTATATTATTATTATTTTGGTCCTAAACCAGTTGTAATCAGTATATTAAGCTACCTGCATCTAAAACATTCATATTGCATAATGACAATTAGAAAATGTATTTAGTTACTTATGTCTGCAAAATGCACAGTAAGAAAAATAATGTTGCACAAGTTGGAATTGACTGTAAACTTGAACATTAAAATTCTGTCACAAATAATCACTTTCAAACATTTTTTTTTACAAATCTGCTATTACAGTTCAGGTTTTGACAATGATTCTGTTCAAGTTCTATAATAAAAAAAAAATGTTGCATTGTTTATAGTCCTATTGCAACCTAATGACAAGCCCTGTTTTGTCTGTGTATTTTAACCTAAAGTATTGTGCAGATAGATTGCTGTGTTTCCAATCACTTTTACAGCTTCTTACAAAATAAACTTACAGATAAAAATAATGAAGATGACGTCCGCTCAGTTCAGAAGAGATTAACACAAACTCTGTTTAAGTATGTTATTTCTGTAAGTTTATAAAGGGTAAACAAACAGATCAGGTGACAGGCGAGATGTGACATATGTTATGACTGTCGTTACTGGTACCTACCTGCGTGATTTCACGTTGTCCATAACAACCAGCGGTGGGACGATTGAATCTGTAAGACGAACCTATGTTTGGCAGCTTTGTAAAGTCCCGCGTCAATAAATATCTATCCATAGAAATCGTTGTCAACCAGTCATTGCGGGGTTGTTGCGAGATTGCCCTGCTAGCCAGCTAGCTAACTGAACGCCGCGGCTCAAAACATTACTCTCTCYGGCTAAAAAAACATTTTCACCCGCGACAACGCCTCCATAAAAATGCGCCACGGCGTCCTCTCTTAGTACGTACCGCTTAAAATACGGTGTTATAACATAAATATCTTAATTTTGGACGGAGGAGCAAACGCGTTGTTTTATTACTTGCCACTGAGCTGGTTCTGTCGTGCTCGTTCTCCTCTGTACTTCATGATGACTTTTTTTTTGTCCATCCCGCCGATTCTCGCGCCCAGCCCTCTGCACAGGCGGCCTCGTCGCTGATTGGTTAAGACAGGGCTCCTTTAAAAAAAGGAGTCAATACTTGAAACTGATTGGTCTAAATTGAGGCATAATCGCAACTCATTGGTTGAATTGGTGACGAGCCTCGCATTTTATTGGTTGAAAGTTTGAGAAGGCGGGCGTTCAAATACACACGACTGTACTGTCATTCTGTGCAAAAGAATGGATCTTTTCATCAAGACTCGATTAAAAAAAGAGTGTAGGAACTTTTTGGGGGCAGGAGTGTTTTTTTAATACAAGTCCTCATGCAATATTTTATCTACRATTAAACATGTAGTTTCTCGTGACTGTTCATCCACACTTTTATTAATCATAACTATATTATATGACACATTATTGTAGCTCCTTAAAATAAACATTTGACACTTCTTAAAACGGCTACATTATGTAGTGATGTATTTAGTAAAATTAGGTGGTGCTTGAACTTGTCCTTAGAGTATCTGGTAAAAATATAAGTAATCTTTGGCAGCTCTGTAGACTGTGTTTTGCTGCCATCTTGTGGACATAACGTTGTAATTTCCAACAGGTATTTTTTCCAYGAGATTAGATAATAATGATGATCATACTAATAGTTAATGCGTACTACACACATACAGGCCAGGGATTGTTTGTATTAATCAGTGCTGAATTTTACTTTTTAAATATAGATGTAACATATTGGACATTAGTTCACCAGTAGGTGACACTTTTTTGTATTATTATTTCCAAATGTTGTAAACTGTGGAAYACCGGAAATGCTTACTGTGTCTGTGAAAGTAAAAGTCTGACCTATTTCCAAGTACGTCATATAATCACCAAGACAATAAAAAAATAATTACACTCTGTTGAACTAGTAAAAATCACTGCAACATAMAATGGCTTGTTAAAGTTCCAAACGATGTGCAACGTGAGGATTCAAATGTGTTTGGGGATTTTATTTTGAAAAATTTAACCGGACGTGTGGATGTTCCTGAAACGTTTGACAGCAGTGCTCGTGGCTTCGCGGTCGCGTGACGAATTTCATTGGAACTTTCTACGGTCAGGAAAGAAGGGCATAATTATTTTCTGCTTCTCCAGACTGTCGGACGTTTCGCACGAGCAGTGAAAAAAAAAAAAAAAAACTTTAGGTTCAGACGGATTTTATGAGCCAAGTCTAACGAAAAACAAAACAAACAAACAATAATGCTGTTGAGCGATACACTTCTCTGGATTTAGAAAACAGACTGGCAGCATCAAAACACCAGAAGGTACGTCATGTTCGCATTCAACAGTTTACCTTGTTTTGTGGGTTTAAACGTTGAGCTTCCTGATTCTTTTGATGTAGCATGTTTTSTTTTGTGGCGTTTTATAATTAGCAGTCGTATAACTTTCTACTATGGCATAACAGTAACATTTCCTTCAGAAAAAAAATATGAAAAGTATTTAATTAGGCTAACTGGCTAAGATGATTAGCTCCTGGGACTCAGTCAGTGGTCTTTGGAGCTCCTGTATTTTTGGTATTTACGGTGTTTACTTTCGGGGTGCTTGTTAAACCTCTCATATCGTTCTTGTTTTTATTTTGTGTGTGTGTGTGTGTGTGTGTGTGTGTGTGTGTGTGTGTGTGTGNGTGTGTGTGTGTGTGTGTGTGTGTGTGTGTGTGTGTGTGTGTGTGTGTTTTCAGCTCCTCCCTACTCTGGCTCTCAGAGATTTTCCCTCCCCTGGTCATGCCTGGGCTGGAGAAACCTTCCTGTAATACACGTGATCTGTGTTTAAATCTGCAGAACTAGCAGTGAGGATTTTTTTYCCCCTCTCCTCCTTTTACAATCAAATATGCAGCAATATAAAACATGGTTCCCTTTATAGCATGTTTATTTATAGTTCCCTTCTCATTTGTTGTTTTTCCCACCTATTAATGGGTAATTTATTTTTATTTGTAAAAACTGTAGGAAGTTCTCTTTTCAACTTTCCCAAACTCTACCTCATTTTTAATCCAGAAGGGATTTAAACACGTGTGACCCCAATGTTCTCTTGCCAAAGTACAAAAATATTACACATAAGCCAAATAAACAGCTCGTCTCCCAACTTAAAACGGAGTCTTAAGGAAACTTTTGGTTCCATACGTCTCAGTCGTTTTGTCACTGGGCAAGACGTCACCCACCGTGCCTACTGGTGGTGGTCAGAGAACCCGGTGTCGCCGGTGCATGGCAGCCCTGCCTCTGTCTGTACCCCTAGGCAGCTGTGGCTACAATGTAGCTTACCCACCAGTAGTGTGTGAATGGGTGAATGACTGAAGTGTGAAGCTCTTTGGAGTGCAGAGGGACTTGATGAGGTGCTATTTAAGCCATTTACCAATTTGTTGTGAATTATAGTTGGTAAACAAAACAACCTGCCATATTTTAAAAGATTTTATGTGGGGGAAATAAAGCTTCCAGACTACTAGAAATAAAACACGCTCCCGATGACGCTTCATTTTCTTCTCTTCTCGGCCTTCACCTCACTTCTTCCTGTGGCCTCTTTTCCTGTCACGCTCCCTCCTCTGCTGGGGGTCAAGCGGAGGCTCTGCAGGTCTGATTCCAAACCTAGTGATGACTGGAGCGGTGGGGTCTCTTGATGATGCAGAATAAACAAAATCAAAATGAAATGTAAGCAATAGAAAATAATCCACTCAAAGACCCTTAAAATCCAAGATAAATGCATACACTTTAAAAAATGTTAAAGGCTGAAGCAGTATTATAAATTCCCTCATTTTTTTTTTTTTGCTTATCATAGTAATATTTTTTAAAGATAAAGTTGTATTTAATACATTGCTTTTTAGGATCCGTCAGTCTGAAGTAACTGTGGTGGCGTTAGAATGGATCAGTATTTATTAATACATAAACAAAAGTACTGTGCAATATCCTGAAACTCATCCATATAAATGTAAAACCATATTTGATACTCAGTCAGCAAGTGCTTCTATTAGTGTAGTAAAACTGGAAAATATGGACAAAGTTCTGTCTGAATTATACCTAAACTCCAATATGTCTCTTTCTTTTGCATTTAAACCTTTGTTTTAAAAGAAAAACTTGTGTTCAAAACTCTACATTCATTAGATAGTTAAGGTTTTCAATGAGCACTTTAAATTATAACTTAAATGAAAGGAAACAAACATCTATTTTCAGATCTATGACTCAGACATGTTAGTAGGTCCAGTTGCTCCCTGTTGTGTCACTTTAATAACAAACACAGCCAAAGCTGTTGCAGGACGACCATCGAGGGAAATAAGTTAAAATGTTACACATAAAGCAGAGAAGCTGCGAAGATTTACTCCATTTAGGTCATCTTGTGTTCTGGAAGCTGTTATATTCCAGAGCTGACCGTCTGTTGCTCGACTCAGATTTGTTTTTAGGAGGAAGTCGGTGGTGCAGCGTGCAAGTGTCTGGACTCTAAGGTTAGTTTAAGGATTTGGTTCAAAGGGGACGTCGGCTGCATGTAACGGGGGTTGACAGAGTTCACACTTCTCCAGCTGCACTTCCTCAACCAGAGATCTGCCTCTGCTGCATTTTAATTAGCTGCTAACATGAGAATGGTATTAATAGTCATTCAGTTTTACTCCACGCGTGACACATATCTTTTCTAACTGTCCAAACGGTTTAGATTAAGACATAGAAATTAAACCTGACTCGATCGTTTTAATAAGTCAAAACAATTGTTTGGATTAAGTTGCGTTTATAAAATTGATGGCTTCCCTGTACTAGCTTTTTGAGTGCTTTTCCCCTCAAACCTTCCCAGCTTGCATGTTCATTTTGTTGCTACAAAGACACTTGCCTGACTGAGCTTTTTAAAGTCAGATTTCCCACTCCGCTGTCACTTAGTTCYGCTTTGTTTTCTTGCTCACATTCCTTGACGTGTGTGTTATGAAACCATTCAAAATCCCCACAAGACATCCACCAGCGAGGATGTTTAAGCTAAGCAGGAAGAAGGCTGTTTTCCACTCCCGTTGCAGCCCGGCCTGTATGTGCCTGTCCGTGCACGTTGGCTCATGTTGCGCCGTGAAGCGCAGGGCTGGACGTAAACTGCGCCATGGGAATGTGGTTAACACTAATTTAGTTCCTTTTCCTGTACTCATTCTGCTTGGCAAGATTTGTCCCTTGATAGTGACTGTGGGTGCGGTGATGTGCAGCATTCCACTTGAAGGAGTATCAATATCCGCTCACCAGTYGGTTTTAGGTTATCACACCTCCTGTCAAGAAAAATATCCCTGGAATGTTAAAAAGCGGGTCCTGCCCATCGGTGCTCAGAGCCGTTTAACATGAACACAAAAGAAGATGTGAAACGGCTCAGGGAAGTGCTCGGATATCTTAAATATTTTAAAGTTCAGATCTTTAAAGCTGCTTTAAAAGAAATGCTACTCGTTTGTCTTCATGAATGGTGATGAAAGTGAAACCACAACAGTTGGAGAGAGAATAACTCTGATCTTCTGACTTTATTTTAAAGAGGGACGCTCCTCTTCCCTGTCACCTCGCCCTGACGTGAGCAGGACGACGTACACCTTGAGGATGCACCCAGAGTCAACACGGAGGCTGAGAGAGTCGACACAAAGGTTTTCRGTGTGTCCTCCCAAACAGTGGGGAGATTTCAGCTGCTAAACAAACAGGGCTGACCTCAGATCAAACAATGGACGAGCCAGAGCTGCAGACAAAGAGCTTTGTTGTACATCAGACGTTATGTAACTCCAAGTGAAGGATATGCTTCTCTGTGTGACAAGAAGCTAGACCACACTGTGCTAAAAATGTAACATTTAGACACAAGAGAGGTCCGTTCTGCAATTACATTACATCTGTTTTGTTGCTCGTCTGCACCATCAATGAACTTAGGTTAACAGTAGTCAGGAGAATGAGTTTATCAGCAATGACCTATTTTTACTTTCTAGTAACACCRGATTCAAATGCTTAAGAAAAATCTTTGTATTGATTGCAAAAAGTGGAATGTTACACACTGCTTGTGTTTGCTTTGTATAKATCACAGCGTGTGAGAGATAAAGTCATGGAAAAATCACACAATGTGGACTGAGTACCTCCGAGGCAAAAAATAAAAATAAAGCAAAGCAAACAACAACAAAATGAAGACACGACATCCACACTCACAGGAAGGAGCAACCTGTTTGTCCAGTTGTAGCGAGCCAACCTGCCTGCGCTCAGTGCAGCTCATTAAACCACTTATTGCTGCAGAAGTCACAACCTAACTTTTCTTCAAGGAAGCAAATGACTTTAAGACAAATGCAGATAAATACAAGAACATTGAATCTTCCCTTTTCTTTTCCAAAAGCTTCCAAAAGTTGCATCCTAAAGTTCAAAAAGATGCTTTTGTTCTTGGTGAAACATCAACAATCTTTATTCAACCAGGCCTGAAAAACTTGAGAATTTTTGCACTCAAAATAACATAGCTTCCAATAAATGTAATGTTTTACATAGTGTTTCAGTGTCACCTACTGTGGTATTTACAGGGAAACCCCCAGTTGTCCTGATTGACCAACCAAATTGAAGTTTGAATGACGCATAAAATAATTACCGGTATTCAAAATGAAAGTAACAACTTCATTTTTATTGCACAGAAAGCAAGAAATGTGTGTGTAATTGGTACAAACGTGTTAACATTAACATGTCTATATGTACACTGCCCGGCCAAAAGAAAAGGTCACACAATAATATTTCATTGGACCACCTTTAGCTTTGATTACAACATGCATTCACTGTGGCGTTGTTTGGATAGGCTTCTGCAACGTCACAAGATTTATTTCCAGCGTTGCATAAATTTTTCACCAAGATCTTGCATTGATGATATCAGTCTGACCGCTGCACAAAACCTCCACCACATCCCAAAGATTCTGTGGAGCCAATCCATGTGTGAAAATGATGTCTCATGCTCCCTGAAGCACTCTTTCACAATTCCAGCTTGATAAATCCTGGCATTGTCATCTTGGAATACGGCCATGTCATCAGGGAAGAAACAATCAGTTGATGGAAAAACCTGGTCATTCAATATATTCAGGTCAGCTGACCTCATTCATTGAGCACATCCTGTTACTGAACCTAGACCTGACCACTTGCACCAACCCCACATCATAGCACGTAATGAAATTCAGGTGTCAATTTTTTTGACCTGGCAATGTATATATTCAACTTTATTAAATATAAACAAATACAACACACAAGAAGATACAAACACCACTCTATGGATAAAAGTTGTTAAATAATTTGGCTGTAGTCGTGTGGAAGGGGAGCTCTCTTTATGTTTTGCTAGTACAGAAAAGCCTAACTGGTTGCAGTAAAATGTTTTTCAGGATGAAGTGGTTATATTTTTCACGTGGGACGCACATGGAATATTGAGTCGACGCACGACAGGCGGATATCTATGGCTTCCAGACGAAGGCCAGTTTCACTTCCTGATAAACAGTGTCTATTCTCTTTTTGTGTTTGTCGCAGCGGTGGCCGAGCATGAGGATCGGCCAGCTGTATACTTGAAGCCTTACCCCTGAACACTCATCACTGTATGACTTTGCACGTTGGAGGCCGACAGATCTCAAGATGGAAGAGGAACCCAGCCTCCCCAATGTCAGCATACCCAGCCACGATGAGCAGAGGGACAAGAAGAAGCGTTACACGGTGAGTTCATCTTGTTTATACGTGTTGGCTTTGTGGGAAAGGAAAATGTCAAATATGTTATTTATTTATTTTATTTTATTTATTTTTTTTGTCGTTGCTGCTTTTTCAGGTTTACAAAGTGATAGTGTCTGTTGGACCACAGGAATGGTTCGTCTTAAGGCGATATGCAGAATTTGATAAACTCTACAACACAGTGAGTTGAGGGACAAAATAATCTTTTATTAAAATTATAATTTAAGTTACTACAGTTCTCTTTGTGAATTACTTGATTTTCTTCCTGTTTTCTTGTTGTTTTTTTGTATCACAGTTAAAAAAACAATTTCCATCCATGAATCTAAAAATTCCTCCGAAGAGAATATTCGGGGACAATTTCGACCCAGGTGAGTGTGTGTGCAGTACACCAGCCGTCTAAGACAGACGTTCTGATATTTATTGTGTTTTTATTTACTCATCTGAACCGATCCAACAGACTTCCTCAGGCAAAGAAGAGCTGGTTTACATGAGTTCATTAAGCGGATCGTTTCACATCCTCATATTTGTGACCAGTAAGTGTACCCACGCTGACTTTGTATGAGAGTGTTTTCTACACTGTAAAACAAAGAAAAGTTGGCAGAACTCAAAATTGTAAGGCTACAAACTTCAGGGCATTTTAAGTTTTGGACTTCAACTTAACTATTCAAGTTTTGCCAAACTTTGATTTCCACGTTTTTGTAACTCAGCAAAAATAGTAGAAACTTGAATGTGTCAATATAGACAACATCTAATTTATCCATCAGGATTGGTCCTTGATGACACCTCTGTCCTGACCATTTCCCCTCTATATGTCTGTGACACAGACCTTTCACTCATGGTGTAAGCTACAGTCAGTAAGCCTGAATGTGACAACATAAGAGAACAAAACTCAAAGTGGTTCATGAATCACAAATTAAAGTGTTTATGTCATTTTCAGAGGTGAGTTTTCAGAAAATTATCCATTTCAGCAACAAAGAGGCGGAGCCAGAACTCTGCTGTCTGAGCTGATAGGAGGAAGAAGCAGGAAGAGGGAAACCAAATACTTTCAACTTGTGTTTCTGCCCATTTTGTTCTTTTTTCAAAACATTATTAACACTAAAAGTTAGGACTGGATAAATACAAACCAGAAGTATAAGAACAAAAGTTATCTCTGCCAGCTCCGTGTTTGAGTAGTTTACTCTGCCTTCCCACATTTCACAACAAAAGCATAGACGTTAGCAGCACATTCATCTGTTGCAATGACCTACAACTTAGAGACATAAGTACTAATAACTCACAAAATAATGTTTAAGATTACAACTGCCTTGGTTTTTTGTACTGACTTAAATTATTGTCCCCAATATGTCAGCCTTAGTTGTTTGATTTTTTTTCTACTGAAATTTGTTTTTCATTCCAAACAAATGAAGTTGATTTTTTTACAGTGTACAGAGAGCTGATGAGAAACATGTTTAGTTGAGCTTCACTTTAGATTTAAACACAGAGTTCTGCTGTGACTGCTGCCTAGTTGAGGTTTTGTCATTAAAGTCTTCTTTAATTCTAAACCTTACAGTCCAGATGTAAAAAGTTTTCTTCTGATGGACAGAAGGAAGCTTTCAGATCCCTCTGAGGATGAAGATGACAAAGTAAATCATTTTTATTCATATGTTTTTGGGATTTACAGTTTTTACTGCTAATTGTGATATAACTAAACCTTATTCAGTCTAATCAAATGTAATTATTGCAGATAACTTATTATGTAAATGCAGCTGATGTGTCTCAGTTTGGTGGCTGATCTGGATCATGTTTTTCTGGTGTTTAACAGAACAGCTCTACCTCAAGAAACATTAACCTGGGTCCCTCTGGAAATCCACAGTAAGCTCACTATATTTATGTTTTTGGTACAGACTGCCTTACTGTTTTAAAATGAAGTCGACATTTTCCTCGTTAGTGAAATTAAATTTGTGTCTGTTTTGTTTCAGCGCCAAGCCTACAGACTTTGACTTTTTAAAGGTTATAGGAAAGGGCAGTTTTGGGAAGGTATGTAAACCCACATATTGTCTTCAACATATTTGTTTTAGTACACAGAAAAAAAGTTGTGTAAATACACTAAGTAGTTATTTTTAGTTACTTATGTGTGTGATTTTTCTACATGTTTGATGTTCAGAAACTATTTTGTGTTTTCTTTTTGTTTTGGAAGCAACAAGTTTTAGTTCTGCATGTCTTCGTCTTCCCATGCAGGAAGTGAGAATGTGGGTGATTACTATGGTTACTTCTTTCACGCAATGTTTGACAAGTCTCGTTTTCCCCTGCATTACAGGTTTTCCTTGCGAAACATAAACACGACGGAAAGTGCTACGCAGTCAAGGTTTTACAGAAAAAGTTTATTGTCAACAGAAAAGAGGTAACCCTTAAAATGAGACGTGACTTTATTGATACCAAAACGTAAGTTGTGCCAGTCTGTGTCACTACTCTCCCTTTTGAATTGACTCTCTCATCAGCAAAAACACATCATGGCCGAGCGTAATGTGCTGCTGAAGAATGTGAAACACCCTTTTTTGGTTGGGCTCCATTATTCCTTCCAGACCACAGACAAGTTGTACTTCGTCTTAGACTTCATCAATGGAGGAGAAGTGAGTGGTTTCTGTTTGAATATGACTCAGATGGCTCTGCTGTGAAATGAATACCTAACCACTTTGAGTAAAATACCCTTAGAGTTGTACTCTTGCTAGATGACGCGTCTGTATTTGTGACTCTATTGCTGGGGTGGAAAAAAAACATCTCTCGGTGTGAACTGAGTGCAAGGGTTACTAAAGAGAAATGTCAAGTTACCGTTTACATCTTTATTCTTTTTTCTGTGTTTTGGATTGAATTAAAAAAGTATATTCATGAAACGCTTTCATTTCAGCTTTTCTTTCATCTTCAAAAAGAGCGGACCTTTCCAGAACCCAGAGCAAAATTTTACATCGCTGAAATGGCGAGCGCACTTGGATATCTGCATTCGTTAAACATTGTTTACAGGTATGTTGTTGATTCATCTGGTTGTTAAATGTTTAATGATCACACACAATATATCTGGCGGGTATCCACTGATAAGATCATCTAGGTTATAAGCTGTAAACAGTTTGTAATATGACCAGACCTCATTTATTGTGCTCACTGTTTATTTGTTTGTTTGTTTGTTTGTTTCTCTTAGAGACTTGAAACCAGAAAATATCCTGCTTGACCATGAGGTGAGCGTTTACACTTAATAGATTAACATCATTTCCTGTTCCTTTTGCCCTAACCTTAAACTAAACTGTTCGGGATGCGTTCCACCAGTCAGATTTGTGACCACGCTGTAACATCCAGCTGGACAGAGTGCATGTGGTCGGATTAGTTCTGACTAATGATGGTCCCCCACTTTTAAAAAAGTGAAAGGGAACTGTGACCAGGACTGACTGAGCCACGCTGCGGCCAGCATTCCTGGCAACAATAGAAACCTCAGTGCACGGGGATAATGAGCTGCTCGTATGGCACATGGTCTCTAAAAAACGTTCATGTGCTTCTCTTTGAAGGGACATATTGTCCTGACGGACTTTGGATTGTGCAAGGAAGGCATTTCCCTGTCGGATACCACCACTACATTTTGTGGAACCCCTGAGGTACGACGTGTTTGCTAACTACCAGTTTTGCCCCTTGAATGAAACTTTTAGTGACATGACATGGTGTTTTATGAATTTTACTGGTCATATTATATTCCAACCATACTTTATATTCACCGTTATGAAGCATTGGTGAATATGTTATTAATAAAGGTTAATGTTCTTTTTTTTTACATAAAACTATCTTTTTGTTTTTCTTGAATCCAGTACTTAGCTCCAGAGGTGCTGAGGAAGCAGGCGTATGATAACACTGTGGACTGGTGGTGTCTGGGATCAGTGCTGTATGAAATGCTCTTTGGCTTGGTGGGTTTTACTTTGAATCATTTTATTCTTAAATATTTGAAACTTAGTCCATCTCTTTTCCAAATTCTGTGTCATTTATTTGTGCTGCCACTCTCACCTGTTCATTTAGATGCTTCTGTTGTATTTCTCGTGTCTCAGCCCCCATTTTATAGCCGGGACACACATGAGATGTATGATAATATTCTCCACAAACCTCTGACAAAGCGACCCGGGGCGTCCAGCGCAGCCTGGTCTCTCCTTCAGGGCCTGTTAGAGAAAGACGGCATAAAAAGACTGGGTTCTGTTGACGACTTTGTAAGTTTTTCTATTTTTGTTCTGCACAATTTTTAAAGCTTTGGCTCACTCTAGTGGTTCACTTGTTAATACCGTAACATTCTGATTTTTACAATAAAATCAATTTTTTTTTGTACAAAATCTACTTCTGATTGATCTATGTTTTGTTTCAGAATGAGATCAGAGCACACAGCTTTTTCTCTTCCATCATCTGGAATGATCTGGAACAGAAGAAGATCCCTCCCCCATTTAAACCCAGTGTGGTAAATACTTTGTTTTTTCAATAAAATATTGTTAGAAACTGTGTAGCTTATGCCCTAAGGAACAGGCAACATATTGCCTTTATGTTGTCAGAAAAGCTTTAAAAAATACATAAATTTTGTTAGTTTCATAAATGTTGTTAAAACCCGTTATTTTATCCCTCTCTCATGTGTTGGTACAGACTTCTCCTATTGATATCTCAAACTTCGATCCTGAATTCACTGAAGAGTTGGTTCCCAACTCCATCTGCTGGACTCAAGAACGTTCCATCGTCACTGCCAGTGTTATGGAGGCTGATGATGCCTTCGTGGGTTTCTCATACGCCCCACCTTCTGATGACTCGTTCCTCTATTCCTCATGAGGGCCTTTAGTTGCCTTAACCATTGTAACACTTTTTGACTAAAGGGAAAAGTTTGTACAATGAAATGTTTCGTGTTCTGTGATGCCAAAGCACCCAGCAGAGAATAACGTGCACTTAAAACAGATTTTCATTGGAAGAAAATCTTTATATTTTACCTATTTGTATTTATATAAATACCTATAACAGATGCTATATTTTAGAATTTTGCACCATCTGTTCTATCAGTTTGATTTCAGGTTCTTTAAAATGCCTTAACTCTGTCCTTAATATAAATCATCAAGCAAACAGATGAAAACTTGAAAAGTTCACTGGACTTAAATGACAGAGTTTGACTGTCGGTTGTAAATGTTTGTCCATAAAAAATGAGCATGTACCAATAATATTTACTAATCTGTATCTACAACTTACACAAGACAACTGAATAAAGCAGTTTGGTTCATAGGTTAAATATATATTTTTTTGTTTAAAAAAACTACCACTTTAGCTTTGTTTTGGCTTTTTGATCACATTGAAACACGTGTGTGTGTGTGTGTGTGTGTGTGTGTGTGTGTGTGTGTGTGTGTGTGTGT